GGGCCCAGCCGCTCCACGGCATGTGGGATCTTCCCCGGCCGGGGCCGAACCCGCGTCCCCTGCATCGGGAGGCAGACTCTCAACCACTGCGCCATCAGAGAAGCCCTGGTTATTATGCCCTTTGAGGCAGTGAGAAATATCTCCAGGCTGAGGCCTAGCAAGATTAACTGAGTTACTCAAGATCAGACATACGTCAAGGATGTGACAGAGCTGAGATTCAAACCTGGGTCCTGTTTAATTCCAAGGCCTGTGTAATTAACCACATAACACTGTTGTGTAGGTCAAGGTCCCAGCAAGAAAGAGGTGGCTCACTGAAACAGGTGACTGAGAAGTGTTTAATGAAAGTGTGGGTAGAATTCGGGGAAACCGCTAAGGGAGGCTGCAGTACCCTGGGGCTGGAGCAGTGGTGAGTGACTACTTGCCGTGACCTAAAATCAAGGGACTGGAGCAGTTGCCCAAAACTTGAAGATACAGCTGTTTGATGCAAGGCTTGAAAGGGGCCTTGAGGGCCCCTCGTGCCTCTCCACGGAGAAGGAACCCAGAGGATAAAAACTCTGACCTCATTCTCTTTCCATCCCCTGCCCTTTCTTGCTGCCTACTGGCCAAACCCAACCAGAAGCTGGTGGGAAAGGGAGCCTGGTCAGTTCCCAGGAGCAGACCAAGGAGGAAAAGGATGGAGAGTGGGCCTGATGGTGCAAATGGGAGAGCGTCCAGTACAACCATTTGCCTTCCAATTTAGTGTATGTAATTCCTCAGGTGAGTTTAATATATTGAACTGAAATTTTATTTCATCTATAATTAAATTAATCACACAAGCACACCAAATCATGCAGTTGGTTAACTCAGGATGAATATATAAATGTGTCGTGGTGTTTGGAAAGGAGCACGATGACTCCTTAGAAGCCTATCTCCCAAACAAGCTTGAGAACCACCAAGAGACAGCCCATGCTATGATTCAGTGGGTGTCTGGGTTCGGGGGGACCCCAGGCATCTGCATTTTAAACAAATACTCCAGGAGTATCTGATGCGGGTGGCCTAAGGATTTGAGAGACTGCCCTAAAGTGCTCTGCCTCTCCTAGAGAGCATTTAACGGTGGTTCCTCCCTTGCCCTAGCCTTTTTTGTCAACCTTACAAACAGAGGAAACATTGAAACTGCTAAAATGCAGGTCCCAAACAAGCCACCTGAGAAAGCAAACGCTGCATGCCATGCACTTACAGCCTCCGTGTGGCTGGGTTCTCTTGGCCAGGAAAATATCAATAGATGTGCTGAGCTGAACAGCTTCTGGATCCAGTGCCTCTCAGAAGACTCTCACCACGGTACCAGGATGACATGAATTCCCTTCATCACCTTCTAATGGACTCAGCTGGATGATCAGAGATAATCTGCATGGGGTCAGTGCCATCCTCTTGGAGGGTTCATTCCCCAGGTTGGTGAGGAAGTCTTCATATGATGGCAGTGGGGTCAGGGAGGGGAAGACTGTACCTTAGCTCACAGGAGTAAGGGAAGGGCAACCTGATGGTAAGAATGTGTTTTCCTGACACGAGATAGATTGTGGGTGATAGAATGTGTTTTCTCTTGGGGAATTTAGGATGACATTGGCCTTGGCCGTTCCTGAATGGGAATGGAAGGGCCTATCATCTCTTCCCCACTAACGAGGCCCCTTCCCCTTTAGAGTCAGAAGAGGTAGAAAATCAGAAACTAGTGATTTAAATCTGTTGGTGGCCCTGGACGCCTATTTCATGGAAGAGTTTGGGAGTGAAAGGGGAGTAATAGGAACAGAGAGAGAGGAGGGGGAAGGAAGGGGGCGGAACTAGCAGTGCACATGGGGGACAGCCTCCAGGAGCCTAGCTGGTGAGAGCCGGTCACCCACCATCCCTGCCCCTCGTGTGGTACAAGGAAGAAGCATTTAGATACAGCAGACTCCCGGTTATTCCATTCTCTATGGCTTTGAGGTGCTTGGTCTTCAGTAAAGGAGCTCTAGTGTTTGTTCCTGCCAGTAAGAGGAGATTTCCTTCTCACGTGATCTCCTTCCAGCCACATACTTCTCTGCCTTCACGGGGCTGTTCTGAGGATCCAGTGGCAAAATACATCCCTGATGACGCACACAATAAATGCACACAGTAGACAAATGATATCCTCTTTTCCGCCCTACGCCCTGGATCCTAGTTCATCCTCCCAAATATGGAATCCTCACCATGGCATCTCATCTTCTCTTCGTTCCATGGTTTTCAACAGTCTTTTCTGGGAGTGTTGGAAAGGGCCATAAATTAAGGGGAGAAACGTAAACATCTGATTATAGAGGAGAGGACGGCCCTGGCAGTCGGGCGAACAGGATGCTCTCTAGTGGGAATTCTGTCCAGTTCAGGCCAAAATGTTGTGGTCCAGGGCAAGGACCAGGGCAGAGTGAGCAGCTGTGCCCTCTGTGCCTCACGACCCCCATAAGACATTGACAGTGAAAAGCATTGGACAGTGTATTTAATGCACACCCTGAGCTGCTGGTGGAATGGCACGTTTGGGGCAGTAGCTTCTCTTGTGAGGGGGCAAAGCACACACCCAAGGTTATCAGTGAAATGAGGGGAGTTAGCGGGGCCAAGAAGGTGGGATCCTGAGCCTTAGAAAGTACCTGTGCTACAGCTTCAACTCATGTCATTGACCCCCTACCCCATCCCCTGCCCCTCACACTCCTCTTTGGACACAACTGCCAGACGGACGTGGATGGAGGTCAGAGTTCATTCTCGTGGGTTCCAGCGCCTAGGAGGCAAATGACCTCTGCGTGACAGCAGAGCAATGAAGACCAGGCTCTTACTCAGGAGTCCACGTACCACGGGAATGACAATGCTGGTCCCAGGGGCCATGGGGAAGAGAGGAGATTCAGTGCTGCTGTTGGCACGCGTGCTCCTGCACACTTGAGCGTTTGCAAAAGTCCTTCACGCCCCTTAGTTCATCTGCTCTCATCCTTCCTTTCCCCATACTAACTGGGATTATCCTGTGCGTTTAGCTTGTTCCATTGCTTAAAACTACTGATTAGAAATATACTTAGTAGAGAGCATAGGGTCCATGTCCAGAGAGGCATCAGGGAGAAAGGGCAGGCTGACGAGGCTCCTTCCTGCTGTGATGCAGCAGAGAGAGCGAGGGCTCCCAGAGCAAGGAAACCTGGTTTCCATTCTCAACATTAGGACCTACTTCCTGGGAGAGTCACCTCACCTCTTTGGCCTCAGTTTCCTCATCTATAAACTGAGAAAAATCCCATCATGAATTTTTATAGACTTTAGCAACATGATTCTAAAAGTCCTGGGTAAACGTCAGTAGGTACCATAAGAAAGAGATGCAAATGAGTGAGGAAACTTGGCCTGTCTAGACTCAGCAGATGTGGAAATAGGTTCGAGCACAATTAATCTATAGAGACACAGAGTCAGAAAGAGAAATTGGCAGCAGGGCAACAAATAGAAGTCCAGATATAGATCTAAGGGTATCTAAGAATTTAGCATCTAAGGAAATCGGTAGCCCAGTAAGTAAGCAAGAATTGTCTAGTAAATTGTCTTGTGGTATCTGGATAACAAGATGAAGAAAAAGGCATTTGTTCTATAATTTATACCATAAAGTAAAGTAACACCCCCCCCCCATGAATTAAGATTAAAATAGGTGGAAAAAATAGAGAAGTAACCAGAAAATAGAATCAAGCACAATTAAGGAATAAAAGCAATTCAAAATATCAACACAAAATAATTCAAAAATCAACACATTTGCCTATGCAAAACTTAAAACTGAATGTGCAAACCAGCAAAGGGAGAAATGACAGAATGGCGATAGAAAGCAGCAAAGGTCCTTTTGTGCTAAAATCCACACCCAGCCTGCAGCGCTGCCTTGCATCTCCGGGAACTAGATGTCTGAGGCAGCCCAGCCAAGTTCAGCCGCTGGCAGCGCTGGCTGGGGACTGGGGCAGGGCCTGGAAGGCAGCGCCTCTCTGGACCCTCAAGCTTGCAGCTGTGCCCTCTGCGTTGCCAGCCTGTGCCCAGTTCCAGCCCTGCTGCCTGAAGGTCCCAGCCCCGCTAACTCCATCCTCTCCAAGTCTCTCCTGCCGGTGCCCTGCCTTATCCCCTCCCAGCCCTTGAACATCTTCTTGCACGGAGCTCCTAGAACGTGTCCACTCTCGAGGGCCAGAACTGCATACCTTTCTGAGGTTACACGCAGATGGCCAGACACCCCCACTCCATCCCACCCCATCCCACCTCTACCCCAGCCACAGTGCCTGGGAATTCCTGTGCCGCTGGGATGGCCCCTCACTGAGTTCTGGGAGTACAAACACTCCAGCTCCCCAGCCCCCCACATACAGACAACCCCAGTGGTCCCCAGAATCCCCTGCAGGACTGAACAAAAGTTCTTCCTGTGTTACTCGCCTTGGTTATGACACCCTTTGCTAGGTTTCCTTCCCTCCCCGGTCCCACTTCCCAAATGGCTTTACCTGGGATCACTTCCTAAACCATTTGCACAAGATTTTCCCCATGGCCTGCCTCAGCAGAACCCTCCTAAGACAGGGAGACAGTGGCTTCCTCAGGGGCACCACACCCTCCATCCCCTGACTGGTGTCTCAGCTCTTCCATCACCTGGACAAACGGCTCCCTCCACTAAATTCTCTCTTTTTCAAACAGTGCAGTGGCTTCTGCTTCCCTGACTGGAATATGACTCATAGAATGGTTCCTGTTAATTAACAGATAAATAGATGAAGGAGATGCAGCCTTTAGTAGGAATGTGGGCGAAGGTTTGCGCTCTCAATTTACATGCTGGAAAATTAGTGAAAAAAGAAAAACATTGACTCTCACTAGATCATTTATTTTAAAGATTTAATGAGCACCTTCTAGGTAGCAGGCACTTAGGCACAACATAAGGGGGAAAGGGTGCTGCCTCTACGCTATGGAGCTCAGAGACCACAGTAATAGAGAGATTAAAGCAGGTCCCAGCTCACATCTATTTTGACAGGTATATTTTTTAAATACCAAATCCCTGTAGGCAAGCCTGCAGTGATGCTTCTTACCTTATGCATTAGGGATCCCACTGCAAATTGTTTCCAATCTTTGGAAAACCATTTGGCAATATGTATACAGAACAATATAAATGTTCAAATTCTCTTAAGGGAATTTCTTTTGAATAAACAATTTAAAAGAAGAAAAAGAGGGGACTTCCCTGGTGGTCCAGTGGGTAAGACTCTGAGCTCCCAATGCAGGGGACCCGGGTTCGACCCCTGGTCAGGGAACTAGATCCTGCATGCATGCCGCAACAAAGAGTTTGCATACTGCAACTGAGAAGTCCTCGTGCCGCAACTAAAGATCCCACGTGCTGCAACTAAAGATACCGCATGTTGCAACGAAGACACGGTGCAGCCAAAATAAATAAATAAGTATTTTAAAAAAGAAAAAAGAAAAAGACATCTGCAAATATATGTTCATCCCAAAGTTATCAATGCTACAAAAAATGAAAATAATCTCAATGTCTAAAAACAGGCAAATGATTATATATGGCTTTCTATTGATAAAAAAGTATGCTGAAATTCTAATTACAAAGACTAGGTAGCAACATTGGAGAACAGTTTTAGCACAGAAAAATAATGAAAATGTGTATAATTAGAATGATTGCTATGTTAAAATATGTATAAGCATGAATAAAAACTAGAAGAGAAGATGGAGGAAAAAAGACATGATAGATTAGTGGGAATATAGAAAAATATTTCTTTCTATGTTAATTCAATATTTAATGATAAATATGTTCTAACATAAATCAACATGTAATAATAAACTGTATAGAGGGGTGTGCATGCAAAGGTAGTGATTCTTAGCTTTGGCTGCACATTAAAAATGTCTCCTGAAGATCTCAGAAAAATTACTAAGACTGGCCCCACCTCCAGAAATTCTAATTCTGTTGGTCTGCAGTAGGTCACATGCATCGGTATTAAAAAAAAAAAAAAAAAAAAAAAGCCAAAGCTAACAGTCCAGGAAATCTTAACACGTAGCAGCTGCTCAGAGCTGTTTGGCAAGATTGTCGCTTCCAGCTCTGGTTTTTCTAGCTCCACCCCACCCTACTGCAGAGACAAGGAAACTGAAGCCAGAGAGGGCTCCTGACCGGCCCAGAGTTACACTTTCACTAGGTCTGACTGACATTAGAACCCAGGATCTCTTTTGCCACTACACCATCAGGGGTTGGCTGAGCCACTGGAATTCAGCAAAATGCCATTTTCCTCTCTTACTCCTCTGGTGTGCAAGAAGCAAAACAGAGGGGGGCTTCCCTGGTGGCGCAGTGGTTGAGAGTCCGCCTGCTGATGCAGGGCACACGGGTTCGTGCCCCGGTCTGGGAAGATCCCACATGCCGTGCAGCAGCTGGGTCCGTGGGCTATGGCTGCTGAGCCTGCGCGTCTGGAGCCTGTGCTCCGCAATGGGAGAGGCCACAACAGTGAGAGGCCCGCGTACTGCAAAA